GTGATTTGTACTATCTGGCTCAATGTTTTCCTCCTCTCTCTCTACATAGCTCCAAGGTAAAAGGCTAAATTCTCACCTTTTTTTTTACTCCTCATTTTGTTATTGTTCTATTGGGTTTGTTATTGTTCAATCTTTGCTTCCTCTCTCTCTCTAATCTAGACAGCTCTAGATCTGTTGTTTTTTTTTTAATTTTTTTTTAAAGAGGAAGTGTGAATATAAGGTTTTTTTTGGGTTTTGAATTTTGGATTTTGATATGATAATCAATCTTTGTCCCTCTCTCTCTCTCTCTCTCTCTCTCTCCCTCCCTCCCTCCTTCCCTCCCTCTCACCTTTTTCCCCTCTTTTATTTAGGTTTGTTTTTCTTTTTTCTTTTTTGTTACCAGCACAAAATTCTAAATAGCAAAATTCTTGGACAGAATTACCAGCATTAAATTTTTTTTTTTTTAGTAGATTCTGTTTCTACAAAAATGTTTTTGTCCTATTTGGTTGCTGAGAAAGTGGCAAAAAAAGTAAAGAAAGTTAAATTTTGATTACTGTCATTCACTACAACAAAATTGAATTTTTATGGCTTGCAATGCATGCCGTAAAAACTCTTTCACAGTATGCACACAAATGTCGTTATATGACATGCCGCGGAAAGTTGAGCATCATTTACGACATGCTAGTAAAGTTGTAAAAAGTAATAAATTAAACATTAATGACATACTTTATTTGTCGTATATAATTTTTTATGACATTTTTGTCATGCCATAACCATGGCATAATTTTGCATGCCGTAAAAAGTTATTTTAAATATATTTATAGCATACTTTGTATGCCGTATATAATATTTTATGGTATTTTCTTACATGTCATAAATCATCACACTTTTCATGACATAATTTTACATGCAGTAGAATGTCATTTTTAATATATTTATGACATACTTTGTATGTGGTATATAATCTTTTACGACATTTTCTTGCATATCACAAATCATTACACTTTTCATGACATAATTTTATGTCGTAGAAGATTATTTTTAATATATAATGGCCTCGTTTGGTAAAACTGTGGGAAAGCGATTATAGATTATAACTTAACAGATTATAACTTATAACTGTGAACATAAGCTGTGAACCTGTTTGGTGCAACTGTGAGATTATGAATTTAAGTAGCAAAGTAGTGCTTGGTTGATAAGCTGTAAAATAACTTTTTACTGTATAATTGTCCTTTTTGCCCTTATATAATTAAAAATGATAATTTTGTCCTATTTTTTTCAATTTTAATTTTAAAAAAATATTTTATTAATAAAATTTATTATAATTAGTATTAATTAGTGTCAACTGATATAAAAATTGATACATTTGACAAAAATGTAATGGAAGTATTATTGTAACAATTTTTTTCCATTATAAAATTAATTAGTCTCAATTAATACTAAAATTATTAATTAGTATCAATTAATATTAATAATTAAATTTTATTAGTGTCAATTGATACTAAAATTTTTAATTAGTATCAATTTCTTAATTAGTCTCAATTAATACTAAAATTATTAATTCGTATCAATTAATATTAATAATTAAATTTTATTAGTATCAATTGATACTAAAATTTTTAATTAGTTTCAATAAATATTAATAATTAATTTTTATTAGTATCAATTAATACTAAAGTTATTAATTAATATCAATTTCTTAATTAGTCTCAATTAATACTAAAATTATTAATTAGTATCAATTAATATTAATAATTAATTTTTATTAGTATAAAATTATTAATTAGTATCAATTAATATTAATAATCAACAATTGTTATCAATTAGTATCAATTAATAATTAATTCATTACAAAAATATATAAAATTAATTTATTAATAATTAATACCAATTAATATTGATTTTTTAATTAATATTGATTTTTTTTTCTTTTTCTTCAAAAATATACATTTTTTTCTTTTCTAATTAATATTAATATTGATTTTTTTTTCTTCAATTTTTTTCTAGGGTTTCAACCTCGTCGGCGAACAGCCGCTGGTGCTAGGGTTTCAACACAAATCGTGATCGGCAGAGATGACCAGCCGTCGATGTAGGTACGGGAGGCAGCGGAGAGAGAGCGAACGGCAGAGATGATTTCCAGTTTCAGATCGTGATGGAGAGAGAGAGAGAGAGAGAGAGAGAGTGAGAAACCCTAGCCGCTGAAGACATTGATGGAGAGAGAGAGGGAGGGAGTGACAGCTCTGGTTCGTGTGTATGTGTGTGTGTGTGAGAGAGAGAGAGAGGGAGAGAGAGAGAGTTAAGAACAGTGTTGAGAGCTAGAAATCGTCCTCGCCGGAAATCGCCATTACCAGAAATCGCCTCTGTCTTTCCCTCTCGAGTGCACAGTGCTTGAGAACAAATCTTATATAGGTGGATTTTTTGTAATAGTTGAAATATCTTAGGGGCATTTAAGTCATTAGAAATAGGACTAAACAACTTCCCGCATAATCTATTTTGAAAAGCACCTAGGAACCAACTTAAGAGATTATGGCTGAATTAGCTCAAGTTAAGCTATAATCCATCCCTCATAATTTTTATCAAACACTCTAAAATAACTTATTTTAAGCTATAAGTGGCTTTACGCTGCAAATAAGTTTTACCAAACGGGCCCAATATATATACAGGAATATAACATTGCCTAACAATATGTAGACAGTAGCTTATAAAATGCAACCTATTAACAAACCACGCAGAAGCAGCAACTATAAAGAAAGCAAAAAACCTAATATCCATACACCAAACAACCTGCATACTAGCTTTCATTCTCAACTTCTATCATATCAAGTTGATAACAACCTCAAACATACAAATCAAAAAAAGTATCCAAATCATAAGATTCATTTATCAACATGATCTACACTATGAAAGATGGCAAATTTTTGCCATCTGATTATGCATTTATCTAGAGTTTTAAATCACATGATCTACACTATGAAAGAACTGTCCAAGTACAAGTTTTGGGATCCAATAGTGGCTAGAGATGATTATGATCACCATCCTTCACAACTGTTGGCAATGCAACACTCATCACTTAGCTGTAACAATCATCTTTCTTGTTTATCAGACACCATGGTGTCAACATCTCAAGTCTCAATCACTGAATTATCATCATCATCACCATCTTCACTTGCTGCAAATAACACATCAACAAGCCATTTTGAGACCACCATATCTCCACCATTTATAGACTTTCTTGGAGTTGGAGCTACTTGAACTACTTGGAAAAAATAGAGAGTTTTCAAAATCCATCCTCACGTAGATTGGATTGGGACTACTTGAACTACTTTGAACTACTTGAACTACTTCTCATTAATCATGCAACACTTCCACACCCTCACAATCCATCCTTACGTAGTGCTCATCTACATCATTAGTATTTACACCAAATCATCTTTCTTGTTTATCAGACACCATGGTGTCAACATCTCAAGTCTCAATCACTGAATTATCATCATCATCACCATCTTCACTTGCTGCAAATAACACATCAACAAGCCATTTTGAGACCACCATATCTCCACCATTTATAGACTTTCTTGGAGTTGGAGCTACTTGAACTACTTGGAAAAAATAGAGAGTTTTCAAAATCCATCCTCACGTAGATTGGATTGGGACTACTTGAACTACTTGGAACTACTTGAACTACTTGGAGTTGGAGCTATTTGAACTACTTCAACTACTTCTCATTAATCATGCAACACTTCCACACCCTCACAATCCATCCTTACGTAGTGCTCATCTACATCATTAGTATTTACACCAAGTCTAGACGCATCTAAAGGTGCAGATTGCATATAGATTGGGCCTTTTTATCACACAAAATGTGATAGAAAGGCACAATCACATACAAAATGTGACTGGATCCAGAGTGACCAAGAATAATACACAAAATGTGATAACCTTTCTATCAAAGTCATATAGAAATATTGAAATCACAGTACACATCAGTATAGTTAATTTTGGGCCTCCTCTTTTTAACATGTAGATTGGCCTTCTCTTTTTAACATGTAGATTGGGCCTTCTTTTCCAAAAAATAAAAAGATGTAGAAGCTGTAAACTATATAGGGCTTAACAATAGCATGTAGACTTTAAAAGTGTGGGAACCTTCCAATTTGGGAGCCTAAAACATGGACTTTGTTGGCTTTATGCATAAGCAGCCATTTTAAGATTGATCAATGTCCACATTGAAACACATCAAAAGGTCAAGTGTGAGCTCAAACTAGGTTTAGTGATTAACATTTTTTTTAATAGAGAGAAAAACAAAAATAAATGAAAAAAACTATTGATCTTTTGGCCTGTGCCAAACTCAAGTTGATTGTTTTTGGCTCAGATTGCCAGCACACAAGTACTTGAGCCATTGAATTTTTTTCCCGGAGGACAACGAACTCAAATATATATCAACAAAAAGTAGATGATAGCATGGAACTGCACATGAGTATTGACCCAATCCTAATAAGCAACTTTTGGGCTTGGATATAGGTCTAGCTAAAGAGCCACATCAGGCCTAGAGTGGAACTCAAATTAAATAAAGGAATTAGTCTGGGTAAAACAAAGGCCAATTCAGCCACATATGGAGTATTTATGTCAGCACTCCTCTCTTAGGCCTTCTCCCAAGAAAAGCAATAAATGGTTCACAAGGTTTTAGATTTGGTTCACAAGATTTTTGACCAAAATAATGTTATCTTTGGAAAAAAATACCCAAATTAGCGTAGATATAAACTATTTCTCAATCTAGGGTTGGTTTTGCTATATTATGCATCATCTAGGAGACAGAATAGGTGGAAAAGAACTTTCAAGTTAAAGCCTCCATTGCAGTTTAAAGCTTTAAAATCCTTTATTCAATATGAAATCTCAAAAAAAAAAAAAAAAAAAAAATTCAACCAATCAGCAAAAAAAAAAAAAAAAAAAAATGTAAATACTTCAGGAAAAGAAAAAGAATTGTAAATACTTGAGAAAGGCTTTTTGTATTATTGAAAATACTCTGATCAAAGTAGAGGCTCTTTTTATTAGCACAAAATCATCAATCAAAACAGCAATTTCATATATTTTTCATGAAGCCTCCACTCAAATTGAAGGCTTTGAAAAGCCTGCTGTCATATATTTTTCATTACATTTAAGGAACGTAAAGAGCTCACAATTTCAGAGGTATGAGCACCAAAAAGAGATGAATGCACTCTGATCCATGAAGTTGAAAAGTAGTTACAATTTTTATGAAGAGAAAAAAAAGCTAGAAATCTATCAGCCAATACAAAATTAATTAATTCTACAAGCGTTGACATGTTGATGGCGACCTCTTAAAGAAGAAAGATGAGGTGGACTTGAGAAGTACTAATTATCCATGTAAGAATGTTCTTAATACATGATAGCATTAAACGATTAAATAATGGGAGAACTAATTCAAGTTTTACGTTACTAGTTGAAAGAAATAAATGATGGTGTCGAAAATACCTTTATATCAGATATCATCCCATCAAAATCCAAACCAACTGTTTTTGGATCATAGTAGCGGTATTCAGCCCAAGGAACTCTAGCATCGTTGAAAATATTCTTGTGGTTACCTGGAAAATTGATCTTTATTCTAAATTATCAGACCTTTAGACAAATTTTACCAATTAGACTATCAATACTCACCCCAAGTTGGGAATGATATTAGGAATGTTCTGATTAGAGATAATGAGCAAATCTGAGAAAATCACCATAAATCGGGATCAAATCAGAGAAAAACAAAATTCATGATGAGCAAGAACAAGAAAAACAACTCTCACGTCAAGTATACATGATTTAAGCTCTAATCATAGAAAAACTCGAAACTAGGGTTTCGATTTCCAAAATTTCAATTGATGAAGAAGAGAGAATAGATATAGAAATTACCTTGAGAATACGAAGGTCGAGACTTCGCAAGTGTCTTCGATGGGGGAAAGATTGAGAGAGAGAGCAAGGATCGGAGAGAGAAAGAACGAACCTGAATCTAGAGCGAGAGAGACTTAATCGCCGACGGAGACAGAGATGGAGCACTGTCTAAATAGTTGATTTGTTGTGTTTGGTGTATGTGAGAGAGGAGACCTAACTAACCATCACTGTGCCTAAATAGAGTGGGTATACAATACAGAGACCTCGACCTTGACCTCTTCGACTGTGTCTCCATTCTTAACCTCCTCTTCTTCTTTTTCTTCTTCTTCTTCTTCAGCTTCAAGGTCGACGTTGAATCCGCGAGGAGATTGCAGAGAGGTTGAATCACTAAATATTTTTAATTTTCTAAAAAAATCACCAAATTCAAAGAGAAATAAAATTTAATCTATTTTCATATATATTATATTTTATTGTATTTTTGTTTACAAATATTTTACTTTTTATTCAAATTAGGCACATCTAAAAAGTTTTTTAAAAAAATTAAATTATTAAAAGAAAGAAAAATATCAAATCAAGATAATTTTGAAAAAAATAATTACAAATCAATGAGAAACAATATAAATATTAATAATTAAAATTATAAAAATTTTCATGAACATGTAGTTTTTTCCCCTAAAATCCCACTGGATGCAATTATTCCTTAAAAGAATACATTAGATTATAAAATAATGTATAAATAATTTTTTACGTTGCCCTCAATTAGGAAAATTTAATGTGAGAAGTTTGATTGAAAATTGTTAGATTTTAAAATTAAAAAAAAAATAATCGAATTGAAATTTTTTTTTAATAAAAGTTTTCACGACATGCTAATGTATGTCGTGTAAAGTTATAATATTTTACGACATAAAATGTATGTCGTCTTAAGTGTAAATATTTTACGACATATTTTTGGATGCCGTGAAAATATACATTTTTTACGGCATACTTTTGCATGCCATAAAAAAATCAGATTTCATTTTTTTTTTTGGTACAAGTTTTCACGACATTTACTAGCATGTCGTGTAAAGTTACAATATTTTATAACATGAAATGTATGTCGTCTTAAGTTCAAATATTTTACGACTTTTTTTTTGTAAGTCGTAAAAACATACATTTTTTACAACATATTTTTGCATGCCATAAATATATGAATTAACGACTTACATGGCATGTATATTGTTATTGACAAAACATTAACGTCTTGCAAAAAAAAAAAAAAGTAAAATTTTACTCTGTATAAAAGTAAAATTTTAGATTTAATATTCTTATTATTTAGTAAATAATTCAAAAGGGCAAAATAGTCTTTTGAACATTTATCCTTCTCCATAATATCCCAAACAAACATGGGATTCAATAGAATAGTCCAATCCAGACCTCTAATCCCATGACTAAACAAACATAGAATACAAATCTAGTCCGACCAAATAGTTCAGGGACAATGTATCCCAGGACTAACATTCCGATGGATTACAATCTCTCCTTATTCAGTCCGTCCAAACAAACGCACTCTAAAAGAATACATTAGATTATAAAATAATGTATAAATAATTTTTTATGTTGCCCTCAATTAGGAAAGTTTAATGTAAAAAGCTTGATTGAAAATTGTTAGCTTTTAAAATTAAAAACAAATAATCGGATTGAAATTTTTTTTAATAAAAGTTGTCGTCTTAAGTGCAAATAGTTTACGACATATTTTTGGATGCCGTGAAAATATACATTTTTTACGGCATACTTTTGCATGCCATAAAAAAATCAGATTTCATTTTTTTTTTTGGTACAAGTTTTCACGACATTTACTAGCATGTCGTGTAAAGTTACAATATTTTATAACATGAAATGTATGTCGTCTTAAGTTCAAATATTTTACGACTTTTTTTTTGTAAGTCGTAAAACCATACATTTTTTACAACATACTTTTGCATGCCATAAATATATGAATTAACGACTTATATGGCATGTATGTTGTTATTGACAAAACATTAACGTCTTGCAAAAAAAAAAAAAATGTCGTAGAATGTACTGACTACAACATGCATTTAATGCATGCCGTAAATATGATGCCGTAAATAGTTAGATTTGTTGTAGTGATTCCTGGGTTTTTCTTAAAGGTCTATTATGATTGTATTTTTTCAAAATTAATATTTTTTTATCGGGTTTTGTACTCAATGACAAGGGTTTCCTTTGGCTAATCGTTGGTTACTATGCTTAGTTGCTAAGGAAGTGGTTGATGTTCTTAATTGTTCAAGCACCATTAATCAACCTTTGTTCAAGCACCATTAATCTATCTCATTATATTTTTTCTACTCTATCTTTAAGCATCATTATCTTTAATGTATCTCTTTATATTTGTTCTACTCTATCTTTAAGCACCATTAATCAACCTTTGTAGTGACTTCAACGGCGACAATGGAGTAGACTAAGGTTGTGGGTATTCGTCTTGGCCTTGCTGGCTTTGTTTCATTGTCTTGGTCTTGCTAGATCTCTTCAAGGATATCCTAAATAGTTATTTTAATTAAATCACTTTAATTAATTAATTAGCTTTGTTGGAGATGTTGAAACCATGGGAAAAGCTACTGGAAACTTTTATTACTTATTTTTGTTGATTAATTAGTTGATTTCCTCTTCTTGATTTGTATTAATATCTAATTTGTATTAGATTTGTATTAAATTAGTTTCGATTGCTAGATTTGTATTAAATCAGTTTCTAAAGTCACCATTAATCTATCTAATTTTTTTTTTAACAACCCATTATCTATCTATTTAAGCACCATTATGTTTTCTGCCATATGGTGCAGCGACTTCGACAGGTGCAATGAAGCAGACTAAGGTTGTGGGTATTCAGTGCTTGGGTATGCAGTGTTTTGTTCAATGGGATCCCAAACAAATATTTTAATTAGTTAGTTTTGTTGAAACACTGGGGAAAGTCGCTGTAAACTTTAATTAGTTTTGTTGATTAATTAATTAATTTCGTTGCTAAAATTGTGATAGATTTGAACTATACTTTAGTTTTGTTTGGTTTGATGCTAAACATTAGTTTTGTTTTTCATTTTTTGTAATATTTGTTGGTAACAAGGTGTTTGGCTTCCATTGTAGGATTAATGTTGTTGTTTCAGCTCCTTCCGCTCATCTTCCTTATTGTTTTCACCTCCTCACCATGGGCTTGAGACCACTTCAACTTTCTCCTCGATGTAGCCGTCATAGCCCATTCTAAAGTCTCAACCGTCACAGTCTTCACCATGGGTTTGTGGCGATTGCGAAGAAACAATTGAGACTTGATATACAAAGTGCTGATGAAGCACTTAAAGTGATTTTGAGGCCACGATTCAATAGGCATCCTCCATCACAATCTATGGTCTCTTTCTTATTCTATCTCTACATTTGTGTAAACATTTTTCTATAATTATTCCTAATTTCTAATTTTTATTCATGTTGTTAATTAGAATAACACCCATTGATTCCAACATTTGCAAATCGAGAATCAGATTCTTATTAAAGCAGCCACACCCTGCAGTGCATTTGGCTTCATTATAGAGAGCTTCCAGCCATCAAGCAATTCAGTAATTTTGTTATTATTATTAGTTTTGATAGCATTTGTTTCGTTGTCATTGGTATATGTCTGAACAAAGGTTACAATTACAGTCAATAGTGCTTCAAAAAGAGAAAACACAGGTTTAATTGCTTTATTACATTTATGTTATGGATTCTTACAATTTGTATTTGAAGGTTTGCCTTTGTGGTGTACTATATAACTATGTATATATTTGGATTGGTTGATTGGCAAAACTATTTTATTTGTTTGACTGAATTGCATTTCCATTTTTGTTTTTTGTTTTTAATTTGCTTAATAGGCTCACATTAGAGAGCATGAGAAAAAAGTAAAACTTCTTCAACACCTATCACATCCAAACACTGAGGTAAGTATCTGATTTGTATTCTTATTGAGGCAATGGTTGCTCATTCTTATTGTCTAACTTTTTCTTTTGGTTGGTTGTCTTCCTTGACTCTACAAGTCTACGAATTAATCATCAATCATGCTTGCTATTGAGTTGAAAAGTTGAATAAATTTTGAAGCAATGGTTTAATCTTTTCTTACAATTATCATACTTTGGGTATCAATTAGGGATTGATTGGGTATCAATTAGGCCATTTACTACTGGGTATTGATTGGGTCTCTGATACATGCAACATGAAGCTTCGATTGGGCCTCTGGTTTCTGATTGAGTCACGAATTATTGTCTTTTATTAATGATTTCAATTGGATGTCTGATATTGTCTTGAGGGTTCCAAGGATGCTCTATTTGCGAAGAGGTGTAAGGTTTGAGCCCTCTTGGAGTTTTATTATTGGTTGGAGCTTAACCCACTACTTCACTCTATTTTTCTCTGTGATTTGTTTTTTTTTTCTTTGTGATTTGTATATAGCAAGAAAACTTTGATCATGTAGATTTTTGTTATTGTTTAGATTCATTCCCAAACTTCTTCCCAAAACAATGTTATGAGAGTAGAAAGAGAAGAGAAAGGAGAACTCTTGTATTCAATATATGAATGAATAGGTACACACTCCTTTATATAGGAGAGATGATAAGTATTACAGAGAATATACTATAACAGATATATACAATAATATCCTAATATATTTTAATCTACTATATTAAAACCCCTCCTCAAGTTCAATGTGGTAATGCAGATATCAAGTTGAGCTTGAAAAGTAAATCAGAAAATCGTCCTGAAGGATGAGTCTTGGTGAAGATATCAGTTGTCTGATCGGCAGAGGTCACAAAGATAAAGATGAACAGTGCCACTAATAACGTGTTACCGGATGAAGTGACAATGAATCTCAATATGCTAGGTGTGATCATGGAAGACATCATTATGTGCAATTTGAATAGCACTTTGATTGTCACAATAAAGGATAGTGGTAGCAGGATGGGGAATTCCTATATCAGTAAAAAGCCAATGAAGCCACACAAGCTCTTGAGTAGTATCCACAAGAGCATGATACTCAGCCTCAGTACTAGAACAAGCAACAAGAGTTTGCTTCTTGCTACGCCAAGCAATGAGAGAATCACCTAAGAAGAAGCAGAATCCTATAGTAGAGCGGCGGTCAGTAGGATCCCCGGCCCAATCTGCATCAGAAAATGCATGTAACTATAGAGAAGAGTATGCTGAGTAGTGAAGACCATGGAACATAGTGCCTTTAGAAAGCGCAAAATGCGAACTAGAGCATTATAGTGCAGAGTGCGAGGAGCAACCATGAACTGACTAACAATGTGAACAACATAGGCAATGTCTGGACAAGTAATCGAGAGATAGACAAGATTGCCAATTAGCTGACAATATAAAGTAGCATTAGATAATAGGTGACCCTCAAGAGGTGTGAGACGAGTCTGAGGATCAACTGGAGTAGTAGTAGTCTTGCAATCAGTAAGACCAGCACGAGTCAAGAGATTAGAGATATACTTGGCCTGTGTTAGAAAGTAACTAGAAGGATCATGAGAAATTTTCAAGCCGAGGAAATAGCTAAGCAAACCCAAATCTGTCATCTCAAACTGGTGACTGAGGAACTATTTGAGACTAAAGATATCCACTGTGCCATCACCAATGATGATCATATCATCCACATAGAGAAAAATTATAATAATACCACGCTCTGTTTGACGTATAAACAAGGTAGAATCATAGGCACCGGAGGAGAAACCAAAGTTATGAATGGTAGAACTGAACTTGGCAAACCAGGCACAAGGACCTTGTTTCAAACCATACAAAGCACAACGAAGTTTGCAAGCTTTGATGGATGGAACAGAAGAACCAGGTGAAGGATTCATATAAACTTCCTCAGTGAGATCACCATTGAGAATGGCGTTTTTGACATCCATCTGATAAAGACTCCAATGGCGAGCAGCAGCAACTGCTAATAAATTGCGAACTGAAGTAAGACGAGCAACATAAGCAAATGTTTCCTCATATTCAATCCCATACTCTTGTGTAAATCCCTAGGAAACAAGACGGGCTTTGTAACGTTCAATGGAACCATCAGAATCAGTTTTGATCTGATAAACCCATTTACAACTAATAACAGTCTTGCCAAAAGGAAGATCAACTACGTCCTAGGTATGAGTTTTATCCAAAGCTTGCAGTTCATTAGTCATAGCTTGCTGCCAAAGAGGGTTAGAACAAGCCTCATGATAGGAAGTAGATTCACGAGAGAAAAAAGTAATGGAACCAACAATATAATCACGAAGAAGAACAGAAGGATACACTCAAGGGGTTGGCTCGACTCTGGTTTAGTCAACTGCCAGCAAACTCTGTTTCCACTTTCCAACACCTCAGTGACTCCTTTCTCAGCCATTTCATTGGAGCCCAGCACCAGCGGCGTCCGGCAACCCAACTACTCAACATCCGTCAAACCGAGGGGAAGTCGCTGTGCAGCTTTGTTACCCGCTTCAACACCGAAGCCCTGCAGGTAGTGAAAAACGATGACAAGGTCATCCTCACGGCGTTAATGGCCGGCCTACGATCATCTGATTTCCTTTTCTTCCTCTCCAAAAATCCCCCGACCTCCATGGCAACCCTACTCTCCAAAGCCCAAAAATACATGAACGCCGAAGATTCCCTAGCCGCTCGCCAAGAGCCTACAGCCAAAAACTCGACCCCCAAAGAGAAGAGAAAGGACTCAAAAACCAGAAACACCCAGTACAATAACCAAACACCTCAGTATATCGACTGACCACCCTGAGTCGACCGGTCGGCACCAACCCGACCACCCGACCGGTTTGAACGATACACACCCCTCAACTCCCCCATGGAACAAGTCTTGAACCAGATTCAGCGAGATTACCCTCTAAAATGACCCCAACCCTCACGATCTCCTTCCAACTGGCGAGACCAATCCAAATATTGTCGTTTTCATTAGGACCATGGCCACAATACTGAGGAGTGTGTTAACCTCAAAGATCAAGTCGAGGGCTTGATACGTCAGGGACGTCTCAATCGATTCACGGAAACTCGCCCTCAGCAGAGGCAAATGGCTGAACCCATCAGAAACAACCGCTGGCGCACCCCTCCCCAGCATCCAGCACAACCTAACCAAGGTCAGGATCGCCCTCCATAGTAACCCCAGGCACAAGGTAACCCCGCCCCACCTGTTGGAGAAATCCGAGTTATTGCTGGCGGGCTTGCTTGTGGAGGACCATCCCACTCGGCTCAGTGGGCAAAACTCAGGAAAATAAGGTAGGGCTCAAACAAAGAGGTGGCAACATTGGACCGACCCTCCAAACAGCCCAAGCAGTGGACGGAGCCTATCACCTTTACAGGCACCGACTGCACAGGCATCCGCTACCCTCATGACGACCCACTCGTCATTTCTGCCCTCCTCTCCAATTACAAGGTCAGACGGGTTCTCGTTGACAACGGCAGTTCTTCAGACATCATCTTTCTAAATGCCTTCCGCCAGCTCAAGATCGAGGAAGAAAATTTGTCCCCTCTCCAAACCCCATTAGTCGATTTTACTAGAGATCGGGTGACCTCCATCGGCTCCATCGATCTTCCTATCACAATCGGGGAGTACCCACGGCAGACCACAAAGTTACTCACCTTTCTCGTCGTCGACTACCCCTCTGCTTACAACATCATCCTCGGCCGCACCGCCCTAAATGCTTTCCAAGCTATCACATCCACTTTCTATCTTACCATCAAGTTCCCCACCGACCTAGGAGTCGGCTCAGTAAGAAGAGAGCAGACCGTGGCCAGGGAATGTTACGTCGCCTCACTTAAAAAGGTCAAGCTAAAGGAGGCTATGATCATTGAAGGGCTCGACGTCAAAGACGAGGACGAACTGGTCAGAGGGGAACCAATGGAAGAGCTTGTTGAGGTCCCCATCGACCCCAACAACCCGACAAAAACTACCAAAATCGGCAGCCAACTATCCCTCCAAGCAAAGGCTGACCTTATTGCCCTCCTGATTGAGCACAACGATGTATTTGCCTGGACCCACTCAAACATGCCGGGTATTGACCCCTCTTTCATAACCCATCATCTCAGCATTGAGCCCTACTTCCGACCCTTCCGCCAGAAGCACTCATCTTTCACCCGGAGTGCAACACTCTTATCGCCTCCGAAGTAGATAAGCTCCTTGAGGCACAGTTTATCAAAAATGTAGAATACCCCAGATGGTTATCAAATGTGGTCTTGGTTCGTAAAAACAACGGTAAATGGCGACTCTATATCGACTACTCAGACCTTAACTGAGCTTGCCCCAAAGATAGTTATCTCCTTCCTCGCATAGATCTGCTCGTTGACGCCACGACCGGCTATCAAATGCTCAGCTTCATGGATGCTTTCTCTGGATACAACCAAATTTTGATGCACCCGTCTGACCGAGAGCACACCTCCTTCATCACCGACCGGGGAACCTACCATTATTGTGTCATGCCATTTAGGTTGAAAAATGCTAGGGCCACTTACCAACGGTTAGTTAATGCCGTCTTTCATCATCAGATAGGCCGAAACATGGAAGTGTATGTCGACGACATGCTAGTCAAGAGCAAGCTCTTCACTGATCATCTGGCCGACCTCCGAGAGACCTTCGGCACCCTACGAAAGTATCAAATGAAGCTCAATCCGGAGAAATGTGCCTTCGGCGTAGGATCTGGGAAGTTCTTGGGTTTCATGGTCAGTCAGCGGGGCATCGAAGCTAACCCCGAAAAGATCAAGGCCTTAATTAAAATGCAATCACCCAGAACGGTTAACGAGGTTCAGAGGCTTACTGGCCTAGTTGCCGCCTTCAACCACTTCATCTCCTGCGCAACGGACAAGTGCCTCCCCTTCTTCAAAGTTCTTCGGTAAACTTTTGAGTGGACGGCAGAATCCGAAGAGGCCTTTCAGCAGTTGAAACAATGCATGGCCAACCCCCCCTACTTTCTCAGGCAATCACGGGCGAACCCCTCTTCCTCTATTTAGCCATGTCAAACACCGCAGTCAGTGCAGCACTCATCAGGGAAGACAGCTCTGTCCAACGACCGGTCTACTACATCAGTCGGGCTCTCAGAGGAGCAGAACAGAACTACCCATTGCTTAAAAAAATGGCCTTAGCCTTGGTCATAGCCTCAAGACGACTCCGACCTTACTTCCAGGCCCAACCCATTATCGTCCTCACTGACCAACCGTTGAAGAAAATAATGCAACAACCAGAGTTGTTCGGCCGACTTATGCAATGGTCAGTCGAGCTCAGCCAGTTTGACATCTCCTATAGACCTCGAACGGCGATCAAAGGGCAGGCTGTCGCCGATTTTATCCTAGAATTCACTAATCCCACTCCAACCACGACCCCACCACCTCCGCGACCCCAAACTGAGGTAGAAGACCCCCACTTTTGGACCCTCAACGTCGACAAATCATCCTGCAAAGAAGGCAGTGGGGCTGGTCTCATCCTCACCACTCCTGAGGGTGGTTATTTCAAGTGTGCTCTCCATTTCTTGTTCACTGCAAACAATAATGAGGCCGAATATGAGGCACTTATTGTAGGTCTCCGCCTCGCCAGAGACATTGGTGTCGACCATATACAAGTGTTCAACAATTCCCAGCTCATCGTCGGACAAATCACGGGGGAATTCGATGCCAAGGAAAACACAATGCGGGCATACATGGATATCGCACTCCCCCTTGCTTGCCTCTTTAATAATTTCCACATCAAGCACATTCCTCGGACGAAAAATGCCAAGGCAGATGAAATGGCCCAGTTAGCTTCTGTCGCCCAATCAGACCACAGCCACGGTGTTCACCTCGAATATCTGGCTCACCCTGCCATTTCCCCGAACCAGCAGCAAGTCCACTTCCTCCAAAACAAACTTATTCCATGGGCGGCTGACATCTTTCTATTTTTGACAAAGGGGGAACTGCAGACGACAAGCACCAGGCCGCCAAAGTCAAGGCCCGGTCGTCCAACTACATTCTTATCAATGGTCTCTTGTATAAACGTGGCTTTTCACGTCCATACCTGAGATGCCTCAATCCTGCTCAAGCGACCTACATGATGAGAGAAGTCCATGAGGGTGTATGTGGCAATCATTCGGGTGCCAAGTCACTAGCCCACAAAATACTCCGCACTGGTTACTTTTGGCCTACTCTCAGCCAAGATGCCATTGAATTCGTGCTTAAATGTGATAAGTGCCAACGCTTTGCCAACATCCCTCATGCTCCTCTTACAGAATTGATCACATTTTGCAACCCTTACCCATTCACCAAATGGAGGATCGACCTAGTTGGCCCATTACCCACTACCCAAGGCCAAACCAAATTCGCAATTGTCGCCATTGATTACTTCACTAAATGGGTGAAGGCAGAACCCCTTGCCACAATTACTGAGCGGAACACAACCAGATTCATTTGGCAGTCGATCATGTGCCGATTTGGCATCTCCTAAGCCATCATCTCTGACAAAGGCAAACAATTTGACAATGCCAAGTTCAGGAAATTCTGTGCCGAACTTCAAATCCAACCATGTTTCTCTTCCGTAGGTCATCCCCAAGCCAATGGCCAAGTTGAGGTTACCAACCGTTCTCTTCTGAAGATCATCAAAACTAAGCTGCAAGCTGCTAAGGGGCTCTGGGCTAAGGAGTTACCAAATGTACTCTGGGTGTATCGTACTACAGCCCAAACCCCACTGGGGAGACCCCCTTTCGCTTAACATACGGCGCTGAGGCGGTCATCCCAGTGTAAATCAGTCTGCCTACCCCAAGGGTTCTGCACCCAAATCCAAAACTCACTGAAGAACTGCGTCGAGCCGACCTAGACCTAATTGAAGAGCTCCGAGAGACCACTGTTGCCAAACAAGCCTCCTCATATCAACAGAAAATGAGAACTCACTACAACCGCAAAGTCCGACCGAGGGAGTTAGCCGTGTGAGACCTTGTTTTGCGCGAAGCAACCCTTGCCACCAAAAATCTGGCTGAGGGCAAGTTGGCAGCCAAGTGGGAGGGACCTTACATCGTTAAGGCCAGACCTCGTCCGGGCACTTACCGACTTCAGGACATGAAAGGTCGAGATCTCCCCTATCCGTGGAGCGCCGAGCACTTGAAGCGTTATTTTCAATGAAGCCCTATTTTTGTATTAATCAGTTGCTGTATTTTCTTTTTGACAATCTGCGCACTTGAATGTTCTTATTCTCTTCTCATATGGTGTAAATTTATGATCAAATGGGCTACACTTTACATGACAACAATCTTATATCTCAGTTATCTGTGTGGTATTTCAGTAACAACCTGATTGCAGCCTCAGCCAAACTGAGCATGAAAAGCCTCAGCCAGTCTGAGTTACTTAAAGCCTCAGCCAAACTGAGCATGAAAGGCTCAG